TGAAGGAAATCTTCAGCCTTGGAAGGAGACTGGCCTTCAGATGTTCCTTTTGCAGACTCTTCAGCAGGTCTTAACTTCTCAACAACAATAATAGATAGTAGTAATAATAGTGATATTAGTAAGTCCCCTCTGATCTACCCGTTTCCCTTCTTTACAATATCAAGCCATTGTTGTTGAGAAGATAAGATCTTCTGAAGAATCCACAAAAGCGACATCTAAAGGCCAATTTTCTTCCAAGGCTGAAGGTTTCTTTCTACACCTTTAGGGACAAAAGTTGTGCACAGGATTACTGGATTAGTTGTCATTTGTCTGGTGATAAATATCTCTATAGGTTTATCAGCAAAAATAATACAACTTTTGCAATAATGGAACACCACCGATTTATATGTCAAATTATTTCCAATGCATTCTTTCTGTATTAAACTGAGGGAAACCATTGTAAAATGCTAGGAAAGGTCATAAGACATTATAGACTCTCCTCCTGTGATCAGAAAGGAAGATCCATGATTGAAAACCTGCTCTTTGAAATGGCAGAATAATCTAATCCTAGTCAAGTACTAATGGTTCACTAAATGGGACAGTTTAGAAATGAGTTTATAAGATTAAAAACTTATTACAAATAATCCTCATCTTACAACAATTCATTTAGTGACCATTCAAAGTTATAGTGATATTGAATAAAGGGATTTATGACTGTTTTTCACACTACTTTTCCAGCATCCCCATGGACACGTGATCAGAATTTGGATGCTTGGCAGCTGGCTCATATATATGACAGTTGCCGTGTCCCAGGATCATGAAATTCCCTTTTGCAACCTTCTGACAAGAAAAGTCAATGGGGAAGCCAGATGCTAACTCAACAACTGCTGTGATTTGCTTAACAAAGTGGGGCAAAACTCACATAACTACTGTCTCATTTAGAAACAGAAATGCTGGGCTCAATTGTGATCGTGTTAAGGACTATCTGTAATTCCTTAGGCAAAAAAAGAAGTGAAAGCAAAAGAGGAGTAATGACAGCCAAAGCAGCATCTAAATGTCCCACGTTAGCTCGTATGAACCAGCAGAAATTCAAATATAACTTTAGGGATTCACCCAGTTTAGGTTGGAAGGTTCTGCCTGCTCCAATGCGAGCCCACTGTTTACTCATAAGCAAGTCTTATTTATACCACAATAAATAAGTTCAGAAGTGCAATACTTTCAGAAATGCTTTCATTATTACTGCATTAATTAATGAAAAGGTATTCTGCAATCACCTATAGCCGTGATGGCGAACCTATGTCATGCATGCCAGATATGGCACGCAGAGTTCTCGCTGCTGGCATGTGCACCATCGCCCCGGGTCAGATCTCCATGGTGTTTCTTTTGTGAGCTTCTGATTCCCTGCAAATGACGAAACAGAAGCTCATGAAAGAAAAAGATCTTACCTCTTGCCTTTGGGTGTCTGCTGTGCATGCATGCCCACACATGCCCGCAGTCATGCCTGTCAGCCCTCAAGCTGCCATCCAGGGAGAACCTGTCCATCACCATGCCCACTTGGCCATGCTTACACGCCACTAACGCTGCCACGTTGATGTTGCCTCTCTGATGTTGATTGAGCCTGTTGCTGCATGTGGCTTTTCTACTCGGATGCAACTGCCTACTCTGATGTAACTCTTTTGCTCGGATGCGGCTAACCAGGAAAAAGGCTATAATGACACTGAGTGGGAGTGTGGCTGAGGGTGTGGGTCATGGTGATTGGTGATGGTGGGTGGGTGGGTGTCATCTGGGTGTAGTTGTGGGTGGAGCTGGATGGAGTAATTATATATATATATATATATATATATATATATA